TTAACTTAGCCGTCAAAAAGTAATCCATCTCATAAATCCTGTAAGTACACGCCACAAAACCCTTACCGATATGCTTAGCTTTGGACATTTCGAGGTTACAAAAAGATGTAAGTGAAGACCGGCAGACATGTGGTGGAGTGATATGTGGTTCCAGGTTTTTAACCTCACACAGCGCATCAAAAGGAGCATATCCCACCAAGCCGCTGAAGTTTCCTTGCAACCTGTTTCGCAATATTGCCGCGCTCTCCCTATCAAGCTGCAGGAACCGTTTTTCTAAGGTACATGTAACTTCCTCTGAAATAAACTTTTACGTTCCAGTGTCAAATCATTGTGAACGGCATAACTTGATTCTCCTCAGTGCAACGCACACCGGCAACAAAAACGTTGCAAGACATGTTCAAGGGTGCGACGTAATCTAGGTAAGTTTTCTAGTAAGTAGCTTGCGTTTCACAGGAAATCTTAATAAAATATTAAGCCGTATTCTTTACTCAGTTAAAGGGGAGGATTCTATTATTGCAATATATATAGGTAGGTAGGTTAGGCTCTAAACGAAGAATTGACTGAATAATCGTATAGCTGAGTATACCTTCTGTTGCTCGTACGGATACGGCGAATCATAGTCCACTCTATATGTCGTGTCTAGGTATCTGTATTATTTCCAAAAATAAAAACAGCAACAAAATCAATGTATATTTATCTAATAAAAAAGTATGTTTTTTATCAACGTCACGACTGGATAAGGGATAAAAATGGGTATCAATGAGGCACAAGACGCTGCTAGCTGCATGGTTGGGGGTTGGGTCTAGACTAATAGGATCCAAGGGGGCCTTCCCCACATTTGCATGTAACTACATGTATGTACCTTTTTTCTGATATAAAATATGCTGCATGTCCCGGAGTTAAGGCTTTGATATAACATATAGCCTAGTAGTAGCTCAACCAATCAGAATGCAGCATTGATAATAGACCACTAGTTGGATTTTACGAATTGGGTATATCAGTTGTGGGTGGTTAGGGACACCCTGACACTGTAATAACCTCAATTTTATTACCCTGTTTAGGACAAAGGACAAAATGGATACCATCCTGTTTTAAAGCCATTTATTGGCAATTGCAATAGATCAGCAAATTCATGTTATAGCCACTGCTTTTGTATACCGGTAGTGCAAAGAAACTTCATCTTGCAATTGGAATCAATCGTAGATAGAGGCATTAACCTCTTTATCAATAGGACAGACTCGCATGAAAGTTTAAAACTACCCTATTTACGACAGAATGGTCAAAACCATACCCTGTCCAGCGACACATCCCTGTATAGACCACATAAGAGAGTACACCTCCAGGGTGCTTGTGTCAAATCATCTACCCAGAGGTGAAGCCCATTTAGGCTCTGGCAGTACTTTAATTTATAATATACCTTTTTCCATGATCTTGGGGATGTCTTGGGAGGACACTACCAAAACCTCTGTCAGGAGCTCCAGTGTCTCTGATTTATTAAGACAAAAACACAAATCATTGTGTGCTACGTACAGTAACCATAAATATACTTGCACTAAATCTTTGGAAATAAAAAAATATGTAAATTAGGATCAGCTTACAGAAGATTACTGTGTGTACCTTAATATAGATGGGTTGTGTGGGTGTGCTAGCAAACAGAAAATGCAAAAATACAAAAGGTTTTCGGGTTTAAAACTTCTGATCTCTGAACAAGGAATTGATTATCTTACCTTTCGAAGTTGACGCTATTAAAGGTATTGATGTCAACCATCTGCCGTCTTGTATCTCTTGTTTCAAAATCACTTTTTAGTTTCACTGCTTGCTCCATTTGGTCATGACTTGTTGTATCTGGTAAAGACTGAAGCAGTCACAGATTCAAAAAAATATATATCAATGGACTTGACAACTGAATTACATAGTCTGTTCAAAGAATGAGGGGTGTATTTTTAATTTATATCTAAGTTATATGCATCAGTCCATTCCACCCACACTTGATCATCTCCTGAAAGCCCCTCCAACAGACAACTATGAGACATACATGTAGGTGACCTGTTCACTATCTGTTAGGGTGGGGCATTAGAAAAGTTAATAAATATTGCTAATAATCCACCCCGTGATGTGAAATACAGTAGAACCTCGATATAACAAAGGCTCAAGGGACTAGCTGGCAAAATCTGTTCACTATAAAGAGGTTCTTTTTTACATGTTTTACAATAATAATTAATTTTACTGGGGTAAAGAAAATCGTTTGTTATACCGAGGACTTCATTATAATTAGAGGTTCGTTATAGCGAGGTTTCACTGTAGTACTGTACATGGTTTCTGTAAAAGGAGCAGCAATTTGTTGCTGCCTTGCCTAAGTTGTCCCTCTTTTACCAAACGTTTACTAAGGCTCCTTAAGACTCGGATCATTTAGAAATGATGTAATGGACTTTTATGGCTGAGAGAAATTAATAACCTGATTGTGCTAATCAAATAATCTATGAGTGATAATCGTGTGCTTTTCAAACACTATGATAAAATTAACTTAGCACGTTTTAAAAAATCTGGAGCAGCAAGTTTCAACCATGTTTACCGACTCACCCCATCTGTGACATTTCCAATGCGATGATAGGTAGAATTATGCAGATTCCTCTTCTGAGGTTGATAGTCTTTGATATCATAATCTTTGGGTTCTGCTTCCCTTGCTTGATGCCTGTATGCAACATAGAGGTGGATTGATGAAAGTTACTGAAGTAAGCTTATTTGTTTTAAATGTGCAGACACAGGCAAACCATCCAAACTGTTCAAGGGATCATAATGTCATGTGTAACATCTGATACTATACATTTACTGTATTTCATAACAGCCACACTTGGCTTGATTCAAGTGATTGGTAGAAATGCTTCAAAAAACACAGAATTTTGTACCTTTTGATCCCAAATGGTGATATAATGTAAGAAAAATGAATAAAACTAACTTACAGTATGTTTTTAGTGTCGTGTCCTGCAGAACCCATTAGGTAAGTTATCTTTATTCATTTTTCTTACATTATATCACCATTTGCATTTCTACCTATCACTTGAATCAAGCCGAGTGCGGGCGTTACAAATGGATCACACGTCGCGCGTGACATCACGATGCCTCGAACAGTTCGGATGGTCCGCCTGTGGTGCAGAGTAGAAAAAAACTGACCCCATGCAAAGGACGATGAGCTTAAAGTTTAACGTCTTGATCGATCTGCTTCAGTGATTGTCTTTTTACCACTGATCGACATATATTTTTCGCATTTAGAATAAACTGAGAAAGACTGTAGTCTCTTATGTTACATTGGACAGGATACACTAAAATACAGGCAAAGCAACTTTAGACGCAAGGCCTGATGCTGCTGCCGGCAGTTGAAACTCACCAGTTAGACACAAGTGTCGGTCTGGCGTAATCCATATGATCAGATCGCAAGAAAAGAGAACCCTTTCTCTCAACATAATCGGGAATGAAAGCCAGTGGGTTAGGATGTGAAGCAGCCATGGTTGTGAGACGTTGTTTTCACAGCTGTGAAACGAATGGAAAGGACAACTCCAGAGTTTACATAAAATCCATGGTAACGCGGTAGCCTCGCTTTCGTCCATCCAAAATTAGCCCGCGTTTTTTAAGTCAGCAGTGTTCTTTCAAAAATGGCGGCGTGTGGGCCAGTTTCTCTTTGTATTAAAAAGTCGTTTCTCGACGTGTTTCTCAGCTAAAATGCAAGCCAATTCTCAGTATGTTCAACACTTCCAAGCCGCTAAGAGCTGTCTTAGAAGAGAGAGGTATGGTGAAGCTTTGGCTCATATTGTTTTCTTGGCCAATGTGGAGCCTTCGTCGAAAGATAATCTGGAGGAAGACTTCATTGTCGCTTTGCGCCAATGGACCGAGATTCTTGAACAACACGGAGAGCTAGAAAAACTAATGGTGTGTCTACAGGAAGCTTTAAAGCTTTATCCACAAAGTGAGGCTGTTCTTATAAACACAGGAGCACACTTGCTCAAGTTGGGATGTACCGACGAAGCTGCCTCGTGTTTCAGACGAGTCTTGAGTGTAAATGATAGCAGTGTTAGGGCCAGAGAATATCTTGAAAATATCGCCAATTTATTAGTGGAAAGATGGCACTTTAGGATGTTAAATGATAAGAAGCGAAATTTAGCTTACAAAGAGGCCATCTGCAAGGCAATTTCCCAAGGATATGACACTGTTCTAGACATTGGAAGTGGCACTGGTATCTTGAGTATGTTTGCAGTCCAGGGGGGAGCTAGAGAGGTTTATGCATGTGAAATGTCCAAGACCATGTATGAAATGGGCTGTGATGTATTGAAAGCAAATAACATGGATAGTTCAGTCCATTGTATTCAAAAGAAGTCAACAGAGATAAGTGTTGGTAAGGATATTCCCAAGAAAGTTTCTCTTGTGGTGACTGAGACATTAGACTGTGGGCTTCTTGGTGAGGGAATTCTTGCTACTGTCCAGCATGCGTGGAAACATTTACTTATGCCTTCTAAACCCTCCCATGTGAAGCCAGTATCAAAGGTCATCCCTAGTGGAGCTGTTGTTTATGCTATGGCAATTATGTGCGATGATATCAGAAATCAAACCAGAAGCAAACCAGTCACAAGTGGAATAAACATGTTATCTGAGCTCACATTAGGAGGTGAAGTAATGGAAAAATGCTCAGAAGGGTCTTTGGAAAATATATGCAATCAGCTGGAGCCATATAGCACAGAATGCTTAGACAATCTACGAGGTGGATTTACTCCTCTTTGTCATCCTTTTAAAGTTACTGAATATAATTTCAATAATCCAAGTAGCTTGAATGATGACAGAAAATTGCATTTTGAAGTCCTTGCGACCAATGATGGTTGTGTTGATGCTATCGCAATGTGGTTTGATCTACAATTAAATGAAGAAATATCCCTTTCCACTGGACCTCAGAGTGATTCTCTTTGCTGGGAACAAGCAGTTTTTCCAGTGCATCAAGACACTGCTAGTAGTTTATGTGGCATTAATAGAGTTTCAAAGGGAGACTTGATGTCTATTTATGGACATCTTTCTAAAGATTGTTCGAGATTGTACTTCAGTGGTGCTGAAAACAACAAGGAAGACATCACCTTGCAATTATCAAAGGATCAAAGAGTTGATTCTGCTGTAAAGACAACTTCTTTGGATCTTGAAACTGAAGTTAACTGCAAAGTAAGTAAAGATATTACTGTCATCCCACCATCTTATTTGAGGCGACTGAATGACAAAATCTTCAATGAACTTTATGACAAATCGATCTGTGATGCTATGAAGTCTGCAAATCCTATCTTCAACAATGGTGGAACTGGATCACAAGAAACATCTGAACATAAAAGAGACGTCCCATATTATGTTTTGGACATCACATATGGTCCTTCCCTGTTTCCATTCTTTGCCTCTAGAAGCAAAGCAGGTTGTGTGCTGATCTCAAATCCACATGATGTAGAATGGATCAAACACATTTTAAATGGAAACAATTTGCCACCTGTTATTGAGTATGGTCCAAAGAAACTTGAAGACATTTCCAAAGATGCAACCGGAAGAAAGTGGAATGTTCTTATCAGTGACATTGTTGAACCATCAGGAATTATTCGTCAGCAAGTGGTAGAAGATATTGTCTTTGCCAGAGGATGTCTATTGAGACCGGAGGGGTATCAAATTATTCCCATGGGCTTCACTATGTATTGTATGTGCATTGAATCTCCTTTTTTGTCTGCCAATTGCCGAATCCTCAGCCAAGACAGTACACTGGGACTTGACATTGGAAGGTTTGTCAATGAGTTTCAAGTATCTACTCAAGTAGATATTGACTTGACAACCCTACCATTTTCAGCAGTCACAGACCATGTCAAAATTCTTGACTTAAATTTCATGCAGAACTTTGACACTGATCAAGGATTGCTTTCAATGCTTGAAACTCACTCAAAGCAGAAGGTCAGAGTTGTTAAATCTGGTAGAATCCAAGCTATCCCCTACTGGTATGTGTTGCACATGGACAATGTCCATTCACTGTCTACATACAGTGGGGCCTACACTGGATCACACTGGAGGCAAGCTGCTGTTGTTTTAAAAGAAGACATGATTGTGGAGGCTGGCCAAGAACTTTTAATTTCAGCTTCATGTGTAAATAGCTGTATTTTCATCAATGTAAATGGAGCTATGGATTAATGTTCAATAATGTTATTGGTGACTAATTATTATACAGGTGACTAGTAACTTAGATAACAGCAAACATAATAGTAAAAAGGATAAGCATGGTAATTTTGTTACCCCTTTTATATAGTAAGGTAAGGTAAGGTGAGGTAATGGCGCACACAAGCCAAAGTTGAGCTTTTGTCTAAAACATGATATCTTGTTAATAACCGAAAATAACATGTTATCTTCACATTTAAAAAGATCACATGTGCTTTGCTTAAATAATAAATTGTACTTTTTGCAACAAAAAATTATATGTTCAAGTGAAATAGTTTGGTATTTTACTGGTGTTTATATAATAGAATAATGAATTATTATGTGGCCACTTGAAGATTGTTATCAAATTTCTCTTCAATTGTTGAAAAATATTTCAAGAGTGAGTGCTGTGAATGAGTGAAATATTTTCTACTCAAGAACATATACTTGCTTCATTATCATTATGTTATGTTCTGGCTTCAATTCAAGTTAGAGTTTTGAGTGTTTTATGTGGTGAAATTATAAATATGTGTGTCATTATCAGGAAAAGACATTTTTTATGTTTTCTTTGTGAGTGAATAAATATATGTCATTATCAGGAAAAGACATTTTTTATGTTTTCTTTTCTTTGCTTATAAGCTGCCTCTCCTTCCAAATGAATATAAACCCACCCAAAATGACGTTCAAAATAACAGCCCAGGGCCACAAAATTTTAAATCACAGTATATCACAGAATATCAGAGTCTTCTCTATATTTTTATGTGTTTGAGGTACTCAATTTGTCAGAAAGAAAGCATTTGGTATTCTCAGATCATGACTTTGTCTTGTTTCGATGTGAAATGCAAATTTTCCTTGTGAATATTTCATATTTGTACCTCTAAAATTTGTACGTTTCAAAAAAGGTGTAAATTTTAGGTGCTTGTCTATTTGCCTGGGATATTCAAGGATGGCTGCAGTTGTAGTCTTCAATACTGACTGAAGAATTCAATTAGCCTCTTTTTCTCAGAGATGCTAAAAAGGCCTGACTTTAAAGGAGGTAAAAATTTAACCTGATGAGGTCAGTCTCCTTGATTTTGATTGTTTTGCTCGACTATCTCTGAGAATAAAAAGGGACTAATTATTGATGTATTTTACAGATGGGCGACAACACCCTGTACCTTTTACTTCTTGTCAATTCCTTAGTCCTGGACCTTTTTTAATAATAAGTGCTTTACTCCCATGGTAAACACATCCTCAAACTTTAACACAAGCCATTACAAATCCCCTTCCATTTCAAGCATATTTGTTAGTACTCAAGAGACGGTTTACACATTGCAAATTAATCTCTTTTTTATTTTGTACCTTGTTATGATCTATTATTAATAATATTTATTCATCTTGTTATCTGGGTGCAGGATGATCTTAACTCACAGGTCAAATGTCAACATAAATAGCACAAAGACACAAAGAAAGCAAGAGAGAACAAGAGCAGAGAAGAAAGAAAAGAGAAACTACAAACACATGCGGGTAATTCCCTGTAAATCGGGTGAAACGACCGGATACTAATTGTAATCCTCTATCGATACCGGCTATATTTTTACAGAGTTGACTTTCCTTGCTTTTTTATGTGACAGTTCACATAATTTCAAGTTCTTCTCAATGTCCCATTTGACCTTTCCTGTGATAGTGATAAGCAGTGATATTACAAGGGTTTAATAGAGTATGACAAGGCATATTGACGTGTGTTATGACCCGTGGAATATACATAGCAGCACGAAATGATGATGAAGCAAGGAAATGCGTCACCTAAATTAGACGGAAAATGTGTTAATTTCTGGGTAATTTACATTTCCTTTCTGATTGCTCACATTACTGTCACGGTATTATTTCATGACGATTTTACTCACATTACATGGACCATGCGGACGAGCGCTTCCTCGGCTGTAGCATTTTTGTTTTTAAAATCCTATCATAGAACACTGTTTTGAATCCGTTTAATTCTGAAAATGCTTTGTTACTTGTTTTGAACCTTTCCTTTGCGTGGCGTTTGATGGATAAAGCCATTTATGCGCCAATACACGTACACACCCCCCAACACGCCCCCGAATTATTGTGTTGTCATTTTCCGAAACTGAACAGCAACGAAATACTGTGCAAAATATTTTTGTTTTGTTTTTCACCGTGTTTTGATAGCTGTATCCATTTATATGCATTTCATTCGTTCGCTCTATACGAATAAATCTTCCATTTCTGGTTGAAATCTTTTAAAACCCAAGCGGTGTTCATGATCCGTGACACGAACGTAACTGTTTATTTTTTTTTAACTCGCTTGTTTGCACGATGTGATGTGAAGTGGCCTTTGTCACCCTTGTGATCACGTGTTTTTCTGTTTATAAACACTGGTACGACTGGTTGTTCTTTCATTGAATGCCATTTTTACACGTAGTTCAAGTCGAGCAATGAGCGTTGCGAAATTAGCACGTATTCTCAGCGTTGCGGCTCGCGGCCCCCTTCGTTTCCAAGCGAGGGCCCTTTCGTCGCTTTCGGCAACAGCAACCAAGATGGCGGACTGGGAGACAAAGATCCCCGCTCCACCTCAGTTACTGGCACCACTTACGGTCCCCACAAAATATCTCTTTGGTCCCGGCCCGTCAAATCCTAACATGAGGATTTATAACGCTACAGCAATGTCGCTTTTGGGTCATATGCAAGCAGATTTCTACAAAGTAATGGACGAAGCGAAAGCAGGTCTTCAATACGTGTTTCAGACAAACAACCGGTATACACTTGCTATCACTGGAGCAGGGCACGCGGCAATGGAAGCTTCTATCATGAACATCGTAGAACGAGGGGAACCAATTCTAGTGTGTGTTAATGGAATGTGGGGAAATAGGGCACGTGAAATTGCGGAAAGGCAAGGTGAGAGAAATTTAAAAGAATGCATTAAGCTTCTAGGAATCACCGTACGTGACGTGGAACCCGTTCTTCTTCTTCTTCTTTCTTAATTCTTCATTAATCTTCAAATGAAAGATTACATTTAAGTGCCAAATAGATCAGACAACTTAGAATGCCCTTATATTGTTCGCCCAGAAGGGGTTTTACTTTTAAAAAATTCAGAAGATTTCACGATTAGCATTTCGATCTTCCCAAGCTTTAGCTTTGTATTTGTAACTCTATAATATGCAAAATTCAAGTTTTCTTTTAGCCAAAGTATTAAAAGCAGACTGAGCAATTTATTGCTTTTGATTTCGAAGACTAAACATGTTTTGTTATTTTCAAACATTTAACCAAATTACCTGACTTCATGTGTTTGGCGGGAGTTGTCAGCGAGTTACGTGCTCTCGCGAACTAAAATTCTTCCGGTTCATGTGGCGTCTTCGCCCGCCCAATATTTAAAAGTAACTTGTTCGTCTCGAAGAATCTAAACAGTTACCATGTAAAAATAATCCAGATCGAAAGTCCCTTGAGATAATGATTTATAACAAACATAAAAATTTCTCATTCTTTATGTTATTCCTCCTCTGTTCTTACAGACAGCTGTCTTTAAAAATCAACGTTTTTGGCACAATTTCTGAAAATAATGCCCCTTATATGTCCGGCCAATTTGTCTGTCAGTACAAAACTGTTCACCACTTCACAGGCAGACCAACCTCTGATTGTGTGGCCGTTGCTGCACCCATCTTTTTGTACTTATAAATACAGACCTGAGTAAGTAACTTCCATGCACTCATGTCACGGCATTTTCCCATGGACCAGTTTATTTTTTCGATGGTTTTGGAGTGAATTTTGAATATCTTTTAAATTCCACAAACTAGTCAGCTTAACCTACAGACCTAAAAATGATATGTTTTGCCTTTTAATAACATTTAGTTTTCCTTTTTGATATCTTATACTTCGATTGCACTCATAGACATGGTGAAGATTCTATTTATTTATTTTGCGGGAAAAAGTGCCTTAAAATGTGTCTAAAAATAAGCTGGTCGGTAAAAACCGCCGTGACATAGACCTAGTATGGGAGTTGCTCGTTCTAGGTTAGGGGCTCCTGGTATAGGTAATAGGACTGTAGGCATGCTGTCCAATTTGGAAATAATGGGATGAAAAAATTTCAAAGACAGCCAAAATTGGATGAAGCCATAGGCTGAGTCCAATTTGGCTGTCAGAAGAATTTGGTACGTTTTTGCACGGCCCTGAGATGTACTTTGTGACAGAGATAATTGTTTGTCTGGCAGCAAAAAGTAAAGAAAGAGAACAAGGTAGGTAAAAAGCAGCTGCTAGTGCATGACTTAACTGGAACTGACGCCCAACCATAGAAATTCTCAGTTCATAAACACCAGCATCTGATCAACTAGATACATCTTCATGTTCCTCACCAAATCTTTGCACAATCCTTCCAAAAATTACAGAGAAAAGTGATACTGAAGTTGCAAAAGCTGCTTTCTCGACATAATCAATGCCAAATTCTCTACAAGCCTCCACCTCTGAGTCTTCTTATTCCACTGTTTGTTGTTGTTTTTGTTATACCTGCTTATTAATTAGTATAATGATTTTTTTCTGGAAGGATGCGATGTCAGAGTTCTTGAAAAGCCACCGGGTGGATATTTTACTTATGAAGAGATAAAAGAGGCAAGTTCTTTTGTTTTATTTTATTTATACGAGTGACCAGAACCAAATAAGCCTTTCTGCAACCCCAATACTACGAAATTCTCCAGAGACTAGGTCTCCATACAATCTTTAAAAAACTATGAAACTAGTTGAGAGAATGAAATAAAAGATCAAACCTAATGGTATTTCCCTTTCGTGATCAATTTCGCAAGATGTATTGATACTGTTGGGGAAAATTGTTGTTGGTCACCTTTATTGGAGCTAAAGGGTTAAACAAAACAAGTCAATCTCATTTAATTAATTATTAAGCAAACAGTGAATTCCAAACAAGGTTGTTTGAGTTAGTCAATAATATTATTGTTATTGATTGGCCCCATATTTATAGCTTTGTCTGTTCTCTGGTAATTTAATAAATTTCCTTCAAGCTAAGAGCATGTAATTTCCTTGTATATTCAGCCATATCTGTTACATATATGTGGTTTAGTACAGATACTTTGCATATATTTTCTACATATCTGTCAAATATCTGCGACCGTCTTTGCAGATATTTGCAGATATGGGTGAACTCATTACAGATAACTGCCGTACTGTAACAGATATGTGACAGATAGTTGCAGATATAGCTGACTTATCTGTTCCTTTGGTAAGGCCAGTGCCACACCAAAACTACAAGACTTGAACAATGTGCAAATGGACACAACAACTCCCAACAGTGTTGGCCCAACAATTTTTGGAGTTGTTGCATCTGTTTGAACATGGCTTAGAAAAGTTTGACTGGTTTCAGAGATTGTGCAACAACTCCTAACAACATGCAACAACATGCGACATGGTGACTGCAAATGGACACAACATGTAACATGCAACAATGTTGGGAGCTATTAACAAACAATGTTGCACCCGTTTGCACTGCGTGGGCTTTAGCCTAAGAAACTAGTCAACAATTTGCGACACCACCAGTGGTTTCTTCTCAAAGTGACTGTGTTCTAAGAAAAATTTAAGGGAGCCCTTAGTGCTCTGAACCTGTGAAGTCTACGGTGCCCAGCATATGATTTCTATGAAATGGCAAAGATTTTCTAGTCTCTCCTGGGGGCAAAAGTTAAACACCAGGGGACACTGGACACTGCTAGAGCACAGCCTTAAACAAAAAAATTGCAAGCAACTAATGCTGTACTGTTAACAAAGTAAACATTTTTCTTTTTGTAGGGTCTTGAAAAGCACAAGCCTGTAGCTCTTTTTGTTGTTCACAGCGAATCTTCTTCTGGAATTTGTCAACCACTGGATGGCTTTGGACCTCTTTGTCATGAGTTAGTTAATAATAAAAACTATTTTATTATAAATTAAAAACTATTTGAAAACAATAATAACAACAAAAACAAGAAACATTCTGAACTCTAAAGGTTTCTTCAGGCTTAAAATCAATGTAAGAAAAAAAATAACACTTTGTCTTTAAAATATATTAAGGGCTTAAATGGAAGGTAATGTTTTGGTTTGTAACAAGGGAGAGTTTTCTCTAAGATTGCAGCCCTTTGGCTGCAATGGCAGACCCAAATCCAAGAGAATGTAGAGAACAGACTTCCACTTTTATCTGAGAAATAAGACAACATTGATTTCCTAAAAATGTTTACAGGGGATTTAGCACTGAAAAATATGTTTGATTTATGAAAAGAGATGTGAAAAGCTTCCTTTAGACAATTATAAATTACGTTTAAATACTGGTAAGCACTGTTTTATGTTCAGTGTTTAACTGATCTGTTTTTTGTTCTGTTTTCAGGCATGACTGCTTGTTAATTGTAGACACTGTCGCATCTCTCGGTGGAACACCTTTCTTCACTGATGATTGGGAACTTGATGTTGTGTATTCAGGTTCTCAGAAGTGTCTAGGTGCACCGCCAGGTGTCGCCCCCATAACCTTCAGTCCTAGAGCTATGTAAGTGTTTTCTTTATTACTTTACTTCAATAATATGTTTCTCAGATTTTGTTTTATAATATTGTGCATTTATGAGGCCAGATGCCCCATTAAGCGGAAATAATGGTCAGAGAGGTTTTTTAAAAGTCTGTACCAATATATTCTGCAAAATGGACCTGTATGGAGTCAACGCCTGGGGGCGACTCAGGATCACTTGAGTTATTCACCAGTTCAGGTTTCACTGTGAATACATAGATAACAATGCAAATCCCTGTTTTATGGGGGTCCAATTCAAATTACAGAAGCACCGTAATCAATCCTGCTCATCAAAGTTTTTTTTGGACTAGCCAAAAAGACTATGTTAGCCACAGCTTCCCAAATGGCAAGCTGTAAAACTGACACCTTCTTTGCACTTTGGGATATATCTCTATCCCCTGGATAAATCTCTATCCAGTGTATATATAGTGTAATTAGTTCCCCAACAAGACGTCTCCGGTGGATAGTGATTTATCCGATGGATAGTGGTATCCAAAGTTTCAACAACCAGAGCCTGAAGTTCAAGGTAGACTGCTTAACCTCCACACCTCTGCCTCTGCTGACTTAATACCTTGGCTTAATGTCATTTGCTTGCTTTTGTTATCAGGGCTAAGGTGAATGGTCGTAAAACCAAAGTGCCGTCATTTTACCTGGATATGACTGAACTGGGCAACTACTGGGGATGTGATGATGGACCAAGAAGGTAAACTTCTGAATTCACAAGGATTTCTCAATATATCCTTGCATTATGAGTTTTTTTGTCAGCCTTTTTAGTTCACTTTATACATTATTGACAAATTCACCAAAAAAACAAACATTGCCCCCAATTAGCAACAGCTGCATGTAGTTGAGGCGAGCATTAGTGGAACTGACACACATACAGTAATAACCAACATAAAAAAGCTCACTAGAGAAAACAGTA